TACCATTTTTTTTCTAAAAAAAAAATTTCCGTATAAATCCAAGATATCCGACAATCAAAAAAACAAAACAAGAAAAAAAATGGATGTGTGATTCATGAAAAATCGTGTTGTTTAAATGTGTCTGTGTGTGTGTGTGTGTGTTTGTTTGCCAATGATAATTACTATTTTACAATCTATCTATCTATCTATTTATGGTGGTGGTGAATTTAATCTGTCTGTTTGTAATCGATTCAATTTAATTCACATACAGCTACTGGCTAGCTACTACTACTACTACTACTAATAATGAATGATTTGTTGTATAATGATGATAATGATAATGATATTGGCATGAAAAATTCATTTTGTTTTTGTTTTTTTTTTTTGGTAATTTTTTTTTCATTTCATTTTTTTTTTTGCACAATGATACTAACTGTAAATTGATAAATGAACAGAAATCATTGATCAATTCATCATCAATCCATTAATAATGATGATGATGATTTAAACATCACCATATTCATCATCATCAATATAATCAATGGTGTGATAATAATAATTAAATTGCAATTAATTAATCCTCGATTTAATATATTCACGCACACACACACACACACACACACATACATAACTCATTGGTGTCTATTATCAATCATATATTTACTGATGATGAGGATTCATTCATTTTCGATATCCACACTGGTCATTTAAATCTCATATTTCATTTCATGTTTGTGTGTATTTCATTTTTTTGTTGGAAATGGCCACCTCTTTTTTCCTAAATAGTCTTTTTCCATTTTGATTTAAAATCTATAAAAAAAATGGACATGATCAAATGAATATAAACAATTTTGATATTTATGGCTCACATACTGTTTACTTTTTTTCAATTATTATTTTTCTGAGTGCAAGTTTTTCCATGTGTGTGTGTGTGAGTGTGTTTGTGTGCGAAAATCCAATCATCACTGACCATAAAAAAAACAACTTCAAACATCAATTTCTCAGGACTTTTCTTGCCTTTTTCTTTGATAATGATTGAAAATAACTTTTGTCAATATATATGATTTGTTTGGCCATATAGCCACATTTGATAAATTTTATTTCTGATTACAGTGCATGGCTGTTTGTTGTTTTTCATATATGAATGATTGAATGATGATGATAAAGAGGAAAAAAAAATTTGAAAATGAAACAGCAACAAATGTGACCACCTTTGTTGCACATGTTTTCCACAGTTACTGGAAATGTCATCAAAAAATTTTTTTTTTTGCAAATGAAAACTTCATTCAACGATGATGATGATGATGATGTTTCTTTTTTTTCCGCCAATGACAATCTGCCGCATCCATTTACAATTCATTTATTTTCACTATGTGTATGTGTGTGTGTGTAACTTATCAACAGTTGCATTTTACATTCATCCATCTATTCTTTTATATGATGTGTTTGTACATATGAACATCAAATACACACACACACACACACACACATCATCATCATAAACATCCAAGGTTGACCATTCTTGATAGTTTTTTTTGTCGTTGTCGTTGTTGTTGAGTGGTGGTGATTGCTGATGTGGATTGATTGACACAATGGATTTTTTTTTTTGCTTCCAAAACGTAGGATTGATTGTGTCGATTGTTTTCTTCACAAAAAAAAAACATTTTTTCAATCATCATAGATGATGATTATTATTAGTTTTTTTTTTGCTGCCTTTTGTCCAAAAAAAAATGAATTTCTGGTATTTTCATTTCGTTTTAGTTAAAAGGTCGACAATGTTTTTTTATTATTAGTTCAATATGAAAAAAAAATGATTGCAATATCAATTGGAAATTATCGTCATTATCATGTTATATAGTGATAAGATGTATTGATTTTCACCAGTGAATGAAAACCTATACTGAAGATGGATTTTTATTTTGGCCAAAAGAAAACAAAAATAATATCTGCAATGATGGATGGCTGCTGAAACACGCCCATATTTTTTTTTTTTGCAATTTCAAAATTCAATTTGGGTTTGGTGGTGATTCTGTGTCTGTCGGTGTGTGTGTGTGTGTGTGTGGAGGTTTTTTTCACCTTGTTGGGTTGTTTGGTTGATTGAAAAGTTTTTTTTTTTTTTGATGAATAAAAATTGAAAAATTTTTTTTTTTTTTTGTTTTTTTTTCTTCATAATGACTTTTTGTTTGCATTAAATTAATCTCTCTCTCTCTCCTTCGTTTTCTGATACTCTGACTGTATTTATTTTTTTTTTTTTTTTGGTTCAAATTTCTAATGGCTAGGGTCAAGGTGTGTGTGTGTGTGGATCCATGGACGTTTTTTTTTTTGATTATCTATCTGCTGGTTGTTGTTGTTGTTGTTTTATTGTTAAAACAACAAAAACAACAATAATAATAATTATGTCCCTGGAGAGAGAGAGATAAAGGTTAGAGGGCTAGGTTAAGCTGATACTTGTCCTGTCCTGTCATCATCATCATCATCGTAATAGTGGCTGGTTGGTTGGTTGGTAGTTGGATGATTGTCAAATGTGTTATTGATTCACATTTTTTTGTTGTTGTTGTTGTTGTCGGTTGATGATTAGCTTCATTTTTGATTTTCCCCATTGGTTATATGGTGGTAATTCTTAGTTGTAACGCTAATTTTCATTTTTCGTTCAACTTTTTCTTTTTACAAGTTTCAAGGTTCACCATAGTTTACCAACTGGTTGTTGTTGTTGTTTTGTTTTGTTGTTGTGTAATTACCATCTTGACCCGTGCATTTGAACAAAAATAAACACCATAATTCATAATGGAATGATGATATGATCATTAATACAACAAACAATTGAGATACACACACACACACACACGAAATTTCCATATATTTTGAATATAAAGAAAAAAAAAAAATGTGCTCAGGTCCATTGGGACCAATAAATACCCGTGTGTGCCCGTGTGTATTGGCAATTTCAATTTTCATTTGTTTATGCTCGTTTCATATGTTATCGATTTTTATTGCTTATTCCAAAATTAGTATGACAGCTTAATCCACACACTTTGAATGTTGAGTTATTCATTGAATTGAATTGATTGATTGATTGATTTGTTCTCGGTATTTATTTATAGACAATAAAATGATTATTATTTGATTATGATGATGATCATCATCATTTTTTACAGGAAATCTTTGTAATAAAAAAAGAATAAAGTGAACATATCCTGTATGCGTTTTTATATGTATATAATACACATAATCACATTCATCATTCTAACAGCTTAAGCTATATATATACGGCGCAAAATCCATCATTCATTCAATGATTTTTTTTCTCTCTATCTAGCCAAAAACTAACGAATGAATGAATGAAACAAAATGGATGAATCCAAACATGGCTGCCTTGCAATAATAACCATGATGATGATGATGATGATGATCATGTTGATGATGATCATGATGATAGCAGCAACATTGAAAGATACAACAAATTCTCAAAATGAATGGGAAAAGAAAAAAATCATGTTTCAATGTTCTTCGGCTGCTGCTGCTGCTGCTGCCATGATGATGATGATGATGAGAAAAATTTTTTTTTTATTCATTTCAAAACAAAGATGAAAATGAAAAAAAAAAATATGCCAAAATGTTTGTGGCATGCAGGCATGATTTTTCTTCTTCTTCTTCTTCTTCTTCGTCTATTTGGTTATAATTTGGTTTGAAGTTTTTTTTTCTGGTGTATTGCAAAATATATTTACAAATTCAATTCAATTCAATTCACAACAAAAAAAAAATTAAAGTAAAAAAACAATGCGCATGCTCAAAAAAAAAATTTTTTTTTACATTAAACCAGAGATAGATATATTGAGAATGGGCGGGACTGAAAAATGGGTGTAGTTATTATTCACAATTTTTTTCTTTCTTTCTTTCTCATTGTTGTTGTTGTCGTTGTTGTTGTCGTCGTTGTTGTTGTTGTTGTGTTATATTTGAATTTTCCCATTCGCATTTTTGTTTTGTTTTTTTTTTTTTTTGGTTCTCTATTTCTTTACGATTCATTTTTTTTTGTGATTCGTATCCACACTGTATTTGTGTGTGTGTGTGTGTGTGTGTGTGACAACAACGAATAAAAAACAATTCATCACTGTCACATACACACACACACACACTGACATGCCAACTTTCAGTATAAATGTATACCACTTCCATTAACATATACAACAGAAGCAATTTTTTTGTTTTCTATTAAAAATAACTTGAAATAGTCACGTGTTTATTCCATATAACTATTGATAATGTTGTTATATATCCAAACAAAAAGGCGGAGCTTTTAACTCTGACTAGCAGCATATATATATGTGTATGTGTGTGTGTGTATTTGGGCAATGAGTGTGTATATATGAATGAGTGAATAATAGAAAGATGGATGGATGGATGGATAGCAAGAGAAAGAAAGAAAGAAGAGAGAGCGAATGAGAGACAATCGAAAATACATCATTGATATCGAATGAAATCGACGACGAAGACGACGACAACAACAACAACAACAACAACGAATGATGATGATCATCATCATCATAAAAAAAAAAATAAGCCTGTATGGTGTTTGATATTGTTTTTTTTCCTTGTTTTTTTCGGAATCATATATATTCTCTGAGAAATGTTGTTATTATTGAATACATTTTTTTTTTTTTTTTTGATCATATGAATTCAAAATTGCAAATAAACAAAACAGTGACAAATATATATGATGAAATGGTGAATTGAAAAATTTTAAAATTCTAATTCAAAAAAGAATTCATCTATGAAAAACAGATCTTTATCATCATGATGATGATTAACATTGAAAATGACCAATGACCTATGAACAAGAAAATTAATCAAATGTTGTTGTTGTTGTTGTTATTATTGACGTTTTTATTTTTTATTTTATTTTCAAATATTTATTGTGAATCATTCCAATAATTTCATCAATAATTTGCTATCATCGACATTAATTTTTATTTCATTTCATCATTAATTTTTATTATTAATTAAAATTATTGACTGTTGTTTGATTGATAAATCCTGATAATGGTCATGAGTTCTTCGTTTATGATGAATTCTACGCCGGCGGCCTATCCAACGGCCGCCATCGTTGATCATAAACCATTTGTATCATCAATGAATTTGATGGATCCATTATCATTAGATTATGGTACAGGTGGATTATCTACCACTACTGGTAGTAGTGTTATCGGTGTTAATAATAGTAATAATGGTAATGGTGGATTAATTGGTACCGGTGTCAATGGTATTGTTGTTGGTACACAGAATGGTAGTGTTGTCACACAGAATAGCCATCTAAATCATCTGACAAATTCAAATCATCCACATCATCATCATCATAGTACACATCCTAATCATCATAGTTCATATTCATTATCTGACTATTATGGAAGCCATCATTCACATCATCATCATACGACACATCAATCAACGGCCGCATCAAATTCAATTCAATCAGCACTTGCGGCCGCTGCTGCTGCTGCTGCTCAATCACAAATGCCACCAATGGGCCTTGGCCAACATCATCATCTTGGTGGTGGTGGTGGTGGTGGTGGTGTCACAAGTAGTGTTGTTGGTGGTGGTGGTGCTGGTGGCGGTCCAATTATATCATCACCACATACCCATCCAATGAATCATCAAATGAATTCACACCATCATTATGGTTATCATTTAAATTATTCACCAATTGACCAAAACCCGGTACAAATAACACATCATCCACATGCATCTCATCATAATGCTGGTCATCCACATACACCACATCCACAACATCATACAACGCAGCATCCATCACAACAACATCAACAACAGAATCATCATTTAATATCATCTCATCATCATCCATATGGTGCACATTCAATGTCATCATCATTAGGTCAATCAATGGCCAATTCTTTATCAACATTAGGTGTGAATAATAATAACAATAGTAATGGCAATGGACATCAATATTTTTCACCATGTTCTATGGGAAATAGTGGTGGTGGTGGTGGTGGTGATGTTTCACCACTTGGACCATTATCAATGTCTACTACAGGTCCACATCCATCATTATCATTACAGAATTCAACATCAACACCAACAGCGTCATCATCGAATAATCCATCATCAACAACACCAAATAATAATAATCAAATATCACCAATAAGTCATCAACATTCACCATTGGGTGGTACAAATAGCAATCTAAATTCTTCCGGTGATCCCGGTAGTTGTGGTGGTGGTGGACATTTATCATCACGTGTATCAAGTCCTTCATTAATTGGTCAACATTCACCACAATCACCTGGTAGTCGTTGTAATAATCAATCGATGGGTTTATTAATTGATCCACCATCACCAATGATTGATGATTGTGCATTATCCACTGCATCTGGTTCTGATTCTGGTACTGGTGGTGGTGGTGGTAGTAGTAGCGGTGGTGGTGGTGGTCATCCAGTGATATATCCATGGATGAAAAAAGTTCATGTTGCACCGGGAAAAGGAGGTAAGATAGATTGATTAGATTCATCATTTGAATCAATTGATTCATCGATCAAGAATTCATTAATTAATACTAAACAATTTTTCTTTTGTTTTCTTTGGAATATTCAATGTGTTTTTAGGAATTCAAAATGGTGGCAATAATTTTACTGGGGCCGAACCAAAACGTCAACGAACTGCATACACACGTCATCAGATATTAGAATTGGAAAAAGAATTTCATTTTAATCGTTATCTAACCAGAAGACGACGTATTGAAATTGCACATTCCCTTTGTCTTAGTGAACGACAGATAAAGATTTGGTTTCAGAATCGTCGTATGAAATGGAAAAAAGATAATAAACTACCAAATACAAAAAATGTGAAGAAAAAGAATCCACAGAATAATAATAATCAGAATAATTCGAATAATAATAATCAATCGAACAATAATAATAATAATTCCATAATTGGTGGCAATACAAATTCTGATTCGCCAACAGCAACAACACCAACAACAAATGCGGCGGCAACGACGCCGACAATAAAAATCATCAACAACAACAACAGCATCCAAATCAATCATCAACACCGAATCATTTGAATCATCTTGATCATCATCATCATCATCCACAACATCATCTAAGTCATCATTTAAATCATCATCCATCAATGGGTATTGTACCACCACCAACATCCATAACACCACAACCAACAAGGTGGACCATTATCATTAGCAAATATTGGTCCACCATCCACCATCACAACAACAACAACAACAACACCACCACCACCATCATCGTCATCATCAATGTCATTGAATGATATTAAAACTGAATCTACTAATAATGGTCCACCGGGATTGTATGGTATAACCGAATTATGAAATGAAATTATCGTTTAAATCTATCGAATTAAAATCATCTTTGATCATCATTTTTTTTCCTCATTATCTCATACAAATACTAAATATTTGTATTGCTCATTCGTTTCGTTTTTTATGAGCAGAATATTGATTCTCAAATCATCATCATCATCATCAATTACTCTTGATTCCTAAAAAAAAATCTCACTTTCTCTCGTTCTCAGTGCAACAAAACTCATCATCATCATCATCATCATCATTGACACACCCACACACACACACACAAACGAATTATTCAAGAACAAAAATTTCTTAAAAATTCATTCACATTTAGTCTGATTTTTCCATTTGAAAAATTTTTGGTTTTGTGTGATTGATATGGATGATATTAGTGATCCAAAAATCGATGAAATGATTGATTGGAAAAATTTGGTGAAATTGAAAAGAGAAAAAATCTAAATGTTTTGTCCGTGTGCGTGTGTGTGTGTTGTTTTTTTTTTCCTGGTAGATTGAATTGCAATTATACAGAAAATTTTTTTTGTTCTCTTTCATTCAATGTAATTTTTTGTGATACACACCATTCAACTGAATCATCATCATCATCATCATAGCCATCATTTCAGACAACAACCAAGAATCAAAAAAAAAAATTTTTTTCTTCTCACCGAAATCTCATCAAATTTTTACCGATTTGTTTGATTTCAAACTGAACAAAACAAAACAAAATAAAATAAATAACCGAGTTCCTTGATTATGTTACATCGATATGATTAATCTGTTCGGGCAATAAATTTGTTTGATTTGGATTTGAAAACCAAACAAACAAACAAACCATCAACAGACTCAAATTGGATCAACAAACGTGTGGCGAAATTGTTTGCATTCCAATGGCAAAAAGAAAATGTTGAAAAAAAACGGGAAAATTTGATTGCAATTTAAAATATATTGATTATCGATTATCGAATGGAATTTGATTCAAATTGTTGTCGAAACAAAAACCAGTCATCATCATCATCATCATCATCATCATCCATAATCACCATCATCAGATTTTCATCATCACATTTTTTTTCCTTCTTCTTTCCAATTGCGGCATTGATATATACTTAATAACCGATTGATTTTCAACATAATTACCGTTTGCTCATTTGAAAAAAAAATTTTCTCAACAAAAAAAAATACCAAAAAATTTCTGAAAAAATCCATGAATATCTACTGTGTGTGTGTGTGTGTATGTGTATCATCGTTGAAGACAAAACATCAACAACAGGAGCAGCAGCAGCAGCAGTAACAACAACAAAAACAAACAAACAAGCTTAATTAATTAACATTCCAAAAATATCAGCATCATCATCATCATCATCATCATCATCAGTATCATCATCGTGAACGAAACAGAAAAAACCACGATCGTATTACAAGAAAAACAAAAACAAAATGTCTAAAAAATGTTTAGTTTTCAACAACAACAACAACAAAAAATATTCATAACAAACACGTTTTTGCACTGTTTTTTTTTTCCCCAAATCTGATTTGATTGATTTTCGTATGATAACGATGATGATGATGATGATTTTTTACATGATACAAACACACACACCAGACAGAGCGAGAAAAATTTTCCCGAAAAAATAAAACGTAGAAAAACTTTCTGGAAATTTTTTTTTTTTAATTTTATTCATTCACTTTTCGATTTTGAATTTGTATAAGATTCAAAAAAAAAAAATTCTGGTTTGATTTGATTTGATTTGGTTTTTTACCTAGTGTTTCAATTGAATAATTCACATAAGAATCTCACGCACACACACACACACGTCAATCATCATCATTACATTTTTTTTGTCTTTGTAAATTATTCTCACCAATCATATGCATATTCTGATTGATTGTAATAGAATCCTAGAGAATTACTTGATGATTTCTCATGTTCAACACACACACACAGACAGACATATTCGAATCAAATTATAAATGGCCACAGCAATCATAATCATCATCACATCACATCACATCATTTTGATTTATACACACACACAGACAGACAGACAGACAGAAAACTTGATATAATTTAATTAATAAACATTTTAATTATTAAACTGTAATTCTTATCTGATCATCATCATCATCATCATTATCATCACCATCTTTATCAATATGGAATAATAATAAAAACCTAATTATCATACATACAACAACAGCGACATTATTATTATTATAAATATATAACTTTAATATATATATAAATAGAGATTTTTTTCTTTTTCTTCTTTTTTTGGATTTATCAATAATCAATAATAATAATAAGAATATATCGATTATAATCAATATATAATAGTTATTGACATTTTAAATCTGATGAAACTTGTTGTCTGTTTGATGTCTTTATATTTATAGTAATGATGACTTTTTTTTTGCCATTTTGACATTAGTGGTAACTAGATTTGTGGAAAAAGAAAGAAAGAAAGAATCCATCATCATTCAATCATATTTTTTTCCCTTGACTATACATTATAGATCTTCATCTTTTTTTTAATATTAGCCACAACCTTCTTCGTTCTAGGTATCTTGTTCAGCTTGTGTTGTTGTTTGGTTGGCAAAATTTCCCCCCTCCAAAAAAAAAAAAAAAAAAAATACTACGCAACGTATGACAAAATATACAATTTTGATAATCAAAACCAACCGATCAATCACAATCCATCATAATCACAATCGAAATTTTTTTTTCTTTTTTTTCGCCAGTGTTTTGTGTGTTTTGTGTGTGTGTGTGTTCATATCTTAACTTTGTTGAAAATATTGTCCCAAATGACTGGATATCTATATATCTATCTATAGATATATAGTCCATTTTTTTGCTGGTGTGAGAAATATGTATCGTTTTTTGACTTTTGACTTTTATCATTCCATGACAAATAAAAAGTCATTATGCGATTTTTTTTCATTTTGGACTTTGGTCAAATCTCTCAATCTCTTTTTTAGATAAAAAGCGTTAAATTTACTTTTGTTGATGGTATGCTCTTTGATATTAGATTCATTCATTTCTTGTGAATGAATGAAAAGACGCTGGACAATCAACGAAAAATGTCTTAATAATCTCAGAATATAGTAGGTCAATCTGGTCAATCGATTTCTTGTTTGTTTTTCTCACCTATATGATCCAGATATTCATGAAAATTTTTTGTTTTGTTTTTCATCAGATATTCATGAAAAGCATTGGTGCTGATTTTTTTGTTTGTGTTTTTTTTCATCCGCAACTATGACTATTTTAACTGTCATTTCCACATCCACACATTATTTTAAAATTGTTATTATATGCAAATTATTTACTCATTAGAATATAACATGTTGATTCATTCATTTGATTTTTAGACAAAAAATTTTACAAAATTATCATCATCATCATCACAGATAATCAACGCGCGCGCATTCACACAAAAACAGTTTCAAGTTTAAAAAACTGATGATTTTTTTTCCTGTTTTTTTTTTGAATGAATGAATAATGAATGAATCGATGATGATGATGTTGATGACCACATTCACCATTGGCAAATCATCATTATAATCATCAATGATCATTGGGTGTTGGCATCACTATCATCATCATCATCATGATCATCATTATCATTCGTATTCGTAATTATTGATTTTTAAACAAAACAAAACAAAAATTTCGTTTTGTTTTGTTTCATAACCTGTGTTGATAATTTAAATGAATTCTTAGTCTAGTTTTTCTTGGTTTGTACAAAAAAAATCAACAATTAAAACAAAAAAAAAACTAACCAAACAACTGCTTGTTTGTGTGTGTGTAATATTTGTTCGGTTCACCGACCGACCGGTTAGTTAGTTAGTTGATTTGTCTTGTTTGTTTGTTGTTTTTAGTTTCATAATTTCGCCTTTTTCTCCCCCACCCCCCTCGCACACTCGCACACACACACACATTCTCTTTTTTCTCCATGATCCGATCAATGTTCATCATGATCGAATGATTTTTTGTTTCGACTTTTTGATTCTTTCAATCTGTTTGTTGTGTTTATTCTCGGTCAATTCGTCATTTGAGACGATAACTACTTACCATATGTATATAAAAAATAGAAGAAAATACAAAACAAAACAAAACAAAAACTAGAGATGAAATTCATTTCAATTCAAACAAGTGTATTCAAGCCAGCGGCTAAAATAAATTATAAACACACATAACACACATACACACACACACACACACCAGGTGTATAATTAATCATAATCATCAACAACCAGATTACCATCATCATCATCATCAACCAGTGTGTATGACTTTGATTCGATGGATCCATAGCGCGTTTATTTCGTTTTGATAAAATTCTTTTTGCTTTTCAGTTAAAATGTTGATGATGATGATGATGATGATGATAATGAAAGGGCCAAAGGGTATGTTTATCATCATTATCATCCTTTTTTTATTTTATTTTGGTTTGATTTGTTTGTTTGTATGTTTCACAGATACAAACAAACATGAGATAATCAATTTTTGATTCACATCATCATCATCATCATCGATGGTGGTGGTAGTGTTTATGTTTTCTGGATGATTATTATTATTATTTTATGCCGAAAAAAAAACAACAACAACAACAACAACAACAATCCTGGTGACTACTCGAATATCATAATTGGTGAGAAGTGATTTGTTTGTTTGTTTTGAATTCGAATATTGAATTATAAATGATGGAGAAATTTATGAAAAAAAATTTTCGTTTTTTTT